CACATGCACTCAAGCAATGGCCATTTGTGAGCCCTGACACTAGATGTATATGAAGTAACATGAAAGTAGCATGAAACACCTTATTATTAATTTCTTAATTAATTATTTTAGTTCATTTTCTTCTGGACTTGAAAAGTGCTTGTATGCTAGACAAATGTTCCTCTCAGCTCCAGAAAAACTTCTGATTTAATTATAGTGTAGAATGGGTTATCACTTTGTAAATGAAATTCTGTTGAAAGATATATTTGGTTACCTGGTGAGATGGCTCAGCAGGTAAACACACTTGCTGGGAAACCTGATGACCTGGGCTTGATCCCCGGGACCCACATGGTAGGAGAGAACCAACTCTTACAAGTTGTTCTCTGACTTCCATATGTGTGCTGTAGCATACACAGCACACACACACACACACACACACACACACACACACACACCAAAGAGAGAAAGAATCTGTTACAAATATGGTACCTATTAATACACTTTTGTTCTCTAGATTAAAATATTTGGAACTTGAATAAGATAAGCTAAAGCCTGGGCCTCCTTTCTCGTTTGATGGATCAAAATTAATGAGAATTCATAGTGAGCAGCAAGGAGTTTAGGTTCTTTTGCAGAATTCGTAATTGCAGTCTGTGCCTGCTTTGTCAGAGGGAATCTGTCCAGTGTCAGCTAACACTAGTTAGTTCATCATGTGTGGACATAAATCCTCTTGATAGGCAAAAGCATTGTGGGAAGAGTGAAAGAAATGCTTTCGGTGTGACCCCAATGCAGGAGTCTGCCCGCACTCCAATCATCCACTTCACTCCATTCTCTTTTTACTTCGGTCCCTACAGAAAAGGAAGGTGCTTCCTGATGGAGTCCCAACATTGATGTTTCTTATGTAGTGATGTCAAACACTCCTGAGAAGGCGTATGTGTAAAACTATCTCTCAGAAAGTTTCAAAGAAATCCATTCTCCAAGGATGAAATGAATAGTTCAGTAAATCGAAAGAGCACAATTCCGATGGGAGAGGGTCTGGGGGAGGGGCTGTCTGAGGCAGAGTGACGAATAACAGAAGGGAGAAAATTGCCAAAGTGAGGTTTGTAGTCTGATTAGACAAGCGAATCTGGCTTTTACAACAAGAATAAAGTAGGATCTTTTTAAGTACCCTTGTTGTTCTCTTAGGTCTTGATTCGTTGGTAGGATTCTTCTTCAAATGTGTTGTGACAATTTGGGAATTAACCGGGCCCTTAGACAAATGTACGTAAATTGTAAAGTCTGTTTTCTTGTCCTCACTGGACTGACAGGCAAAGCCTTGGAGTGCATGCCAGAGATGAGTCAGTGCTGGTTTAGTCCCTAACAGGCCACTCTTTTCCTCAACAGTGCTGTAGGAAATGTGGTTGTTCAAAGTTCCCTGCAGCATAACCCTGTTTGCTGCACTGTCAGCTGAGTTGCCAAGTTGAACATACCAAGCAATCGTCTATGCCCAGCAAATGACAAATAAAAGTCACTGGGAAACAAGACAAGGTGTATTTTGAGGTGCAGCATGTTAGAGAAGAAATGGGATTTTGATCCAGAAGAGAACAACAAGAGAGTTCTTTGGAAGGAAGAAATGGGATTTTGATCCAGAAGAGAACAACAAGAGAGTTCTTTGGGAACAAACTTTGTAATTAACAGATGCAGATGAAGAAAGCATGAAGGGCTTTCTTTTTCCTGAGGTCATCCAGCAGGCATCAGTTGAGTGTAGTCCTTCACCATCCGACTGTCTCTTTGGCTACCTTTTTGTGTCTCTTTTATGAAGATAAGGAGGGTAGGAATCTAATCCAGTGAGAGAGTACTTGCTTGACATGTGTAAGGCCTTGGGTTTGATTCCTAGCACCACAGAATAATGGAGATTGACTTTTTTAAAGTTATTGTTGTATAAAGAGGAGGAAATCTTTTCATATGTATGGCCCTGGACATTTGACTTCCTCAGAAGGCATTCTGGGTGGTGTTAACTTGCATGAGTTTCCTGCTCCTCTGTAGTCAGTTATTGCAGCTAGGCAGCTTGAAGTATCTGTTTCTTATCTCATAGCTCTTGAGGTCAAACGTTTTGTGTCACATGACTGGGGTCTCTGCTCAGCATCTCATTATGATCACAATGGGGCCATGTTCTCACATAGCACTCAGTGTCTGCATCCAAGCCCTGTGATTGGGCCAAGATTCAGTTCCTTTTAGTTGCAGGTCTGAGGTCTTCATTTCTCTAGGGTTGCTCTTCGCTCTCAGTCCTTGTGAATTGGTTCATTAAATGAAACTCCAGGCTCCAACTCTCTCTTGCTATTTCCTTTCTACAGGTCACCTAGTTAGCTGCAGAACACCTGGTTGTTCTGTTTTTGGTTCATTGGGGTGGGTGGGGGCACTGTTTTTTCCTTCTTTCTCTGCAGGGTGGAGGGTCAAATGTAGCATATGTTAGACAAATGCTCTAACACCAAGCTACATCCCAGGTAATAATCTCTTCCTTAAAGTCAGTTGATCAGGACCTACTGTTGAATCTAAATCAGTGTAATGTCTAGGTTAGTGTTTAATGAATGAGTGGAAGAGAATGATTGATGCTACTGGGAACCTAAAGATTATGGAGACTCTGTTCCCACAGAGGCTTCATGAAAGCAGAGTCCAAAACTGCCATGAAGTCTGTCTGGCTATTTAATCTAGTGCTCATAGAGTTTTCAGAGGAGACCTTAGGATCCCTTGATGTGATATTATGGGAACTCTGGGGTCAGTATGGGGTATTATATTATTGTGAGATGCTCACAAAGAATGAGAAAGTCATGAATGTAGGAGGCAGCCCATTTCAGAATTTGAAGTGGTGAAAGGGTGGAAGACATTTCTGAGGCTGGAGACTGTGATATTGTTTCTGTCAGAAGCAGCTAAAAAAGGAAACAGTGGGAGATGTGAGTGTGTGTGTGTGTGTGTGTGTGTGTGTGTGTGTGTGTAATTTTTAATTGAGAGATGAAGGGGAGAGAGGGGAGACAGACAGACAGACAGACAGATGATAGATTAGAGAGAGAGAATGTAAACCCAGAGAGAGAAAGTTAACGTAATGCACTGGATCCTTCAGAGCTGGTGTAAGATAGTTGTGAGCCACCTGATGTGGGTGCTGGAATCTGAACTCAGGTCCTCTGTAAGAACCAGAAGTGGCTGGAGCCATCTCTCCAGCTCCACATTTTTGTTTTTATTGTGACACCATCCAAATCCATAAGTGAGTCTGTTAAGAAAAGCCTTTGGGTTGTCTCTAGGAATGCAATTAAAGTAAGCTTTCTTCAGAGGAGTGTCTGTTCCTCCACACTTCTCCTGCAGATGTAAAATGAGGGTCAGGTGGCGTTTCAGGTGTTCTTCCCTTCTCTGTTAGCTGCCAAGTCTGTGATTCCACAACTGAAATACTTTTCCTTTGGTAATCAAAACATCAAGGTTTGGGCTGCAGTTAGGATTGCCCAAACCATGGAGAATTTGTAATTTGTTTCCTTTCTCTGTCAATATTATGGAAGATATTTGTGTTCCAGCTAAGGAAAAATATTGAAAGGAGTTTCTTTGTTCTCTCTGCTGCTTGTATAGCATGGGGTCAACAGTCAGTACTGGCAGTTGTGTCTTTGTAGAGTACTTGGATGTAGTAAGCACTACATGACTTCTAGTGTATGGCTTTCTGGATGAACAAACAGAAAAACAGCCTACAGTGTCACCTTTATCTACTAATTGGAAGGTGATACTGCAGAGACCTGAGGGAACAGTGACATGTTAGCAATGCTCTCTTATAGCTGGTGGAATTCTGAGAATCCTCTCCACACGCACACACCCATTTTAAAGCAGTTTTATTTGCAATTTCTATTACCACTTTCAATTTTGAAGGTAATTTAGTTGATGACGTTTTGATTCTGTGTAGCCTTTCACAACCACTGACTTTTTCTCTATGCGATATGTAGGGCCATGCAGAAGATGCTCAGTACAGAGCTCAAGCATGACTTCCAAGTTTAATCCATAGCTCATTTGGCCTCTCTCTCTTGCTTCCCTCCTCAGGGCAGATCAACTACCAGGCAGCCTCTCCTGATGAAGGTGCCCTGGTAAATGCCGCCAGGAACTTCGGCTTTGCCTTCCTTGCCAGGACACAGAATACGATCACTGTCAGTGAACTGGGCACGGAAAGGACCTATAGTGTGCTAGCCATTTTGGACTTCAACAGTGACCGGAAGCGGATGTCTATCATCGGTAGGTCTCTACCTCAGGCTCTATGACTCCTTCAGCTCCATGTGCCTTTTCTCCATTTTACTCAGTGATGCTTGAATAAGTGAGGACATGGATAGACAGAAGTCAGTTGGCATTTTCAAAAAGCCAAGGCCCATCTTCCTGTAGAATGTCCCTATTTTGATTTGTCTTCTATCCCTTAATACTTATATCCTGGTCACACATTGTTGGCAAAAAAAAAAAAATTACATAGTGATACTGTGCCCTTCTCAAAGGGTCACCCTCCAAAGGCACCTGATGTTTTATCTCATGGATGGTGATGATAACTATTGCTTGGCTGATGTATGTCAATAACCTTCCGGCCGGGTGTTGGTGGAGCACGCCTTTAATCCCAGCACTTGGGAGGCAGAGACAGGTGGATCTCTGTGAGTTCGAGACCAGCCTGGTCTACAAGAGCTAGTTCCAGAACAGCCTCCAAAGCCACAGAGAAACCCTGTCTCGAAAAACCAAAATAAAATAAAATAAAATAAACCTTCCCACTCTGGTGCTCATTTTTTAACAAGTGGAATTATATTTTACTGAGTGCTTTCTGGGTGCCTACCCAATATGGACTAGTAATCATGGCTGGTGCCTGCCTCAAAGAACTTAAAATGCAGTTAGCTATGGAGCAAGTTCTGTGATTCTATTGTTGTACAGAATGAACAATATAAGAAAGTGTTCACAGGAGCCTTGTTAGAGGCAGTAAATGGTATGAGCTCAAAAGACAGGTAGGGAAGATTCCTATCAGTGTGGACAAGGAAAATTCTATGGGAGACATTGCACATAGTTTGGAGCCTATAAATACTTGTTAAAATGACATAGGAAACTAAGCTGACCTTGAGTGAATGTTTTTATATTTTACTGCTGTATTCAATGCAGGTAGCAGCTTGACAACTTTGTTTGGGGGCAGCACTTCAAGTCACATGATCAATGTAGTTATATATCATATAACTTTGTTGTTGCTTTCCTTCCCTTGCTACCAGTGAGAACCCCAGAAGGTAGTATTAGGCTGTACTGTAAAGGCGCTGACACTGTCATTTATGAACGGCTCCATCAGATGAATCCTATAAAGCAAGAAACACAGGATGCCCTGGATGTAAGTCTTATTTTTGCTCTTTCTTTTTTTTCTTTCATTTTTTTATTTGAAATACAAACAAGATTGAATTACATGACAATCCCAGTACCCTTCTCCCTCCCTTACTTTTGCTCTTTCTGCTAGAGAGTCCACTATTGCCTTCTGGGACTGTCTCTTCAGTCATGTGATAGTTTTGTTCACTGTTAATTAACCCTCCCCTTGCTTTGGTGTCATGGACTGGGAACACAAAAGTAGGAACATGATAGGTGATAGTTTTGCTCTTGCTGCCAATATTCCAGATAATGATGGTGAAGGCCTTTCTTAGCATCCAGGTCTTCAGGGCTGATACAATAATGGCTCATGACTTTCCCAGAGACTTCATGCAAGGAGCCAGCTGCTTTTAGGTGTAGGCTTAATATCTCTGTGGTTGCCAAGAGTTTTACCAAATTCTAGGTATAAAGTGAAGAAAAGAAAGCATTTTCTGTATGTCACAGTAATAAAGCAAAGTATTGGATCACTGAGCTCTGATGCCTTTGTTGTAATCCATACAATCCATAGCTCACACACAGACACAGTATAAATGTAATTTTAAAAATGAATTCTTTGAAAGCTTACTATTCTTTGCACGGGTGGATTTTTGTCTTGTAAATAAAACAGATCTTTGCTAGTGAAACTCTCAGAACCCTGTGCCTATGCTACAAGGAAATTGAAGAAAAAGAATTTGCAGACTGGAATAAGAAGTCTATGGCAGCCAGCGTGGCCTCAACCAACCGGGATGAAGCTTTGGATAAAGTGTATGAAGAGATTGAGAAGGACTTGATTGTGAGTTCAGCGTTGATAACTTTCTCTTTGACACTTCAAACAAATTTAAATTTGTATTTTGTCATGTCATTGATATCATGATTTAGAGATAATTCTTTGATGGGTACAACAAACAAAATAAAATTTGATATCACAGAACAAAAAACACCTTTCTTTCTTTTGCTCTTTCTGTCTTTTTTTTTTTTTCTACACTGGCCTAGTACTCACTTTATGGCTCAGCTTGACCTTGAATTCATAGCAGTAAAGTAATTTTATTTTCTATGAAAATGGCAAAAAACAACCCAAAAAATCTCTAGCATTTAGGGAATTACTAAAGCCGTTTAATTAAAGTTGTAGTAAAGCTTATATCAAAACAACTAAAATATTTTGAAAGGCATAGATGGTTTTCTTGAATTTATATTAATAGGAAATAGTCAACCAAAGAGTAGTACCGCCATTAGCTTGAGAAACAGGTGTACATTCGCACAGCCCCAAACACAATGAAAGTGGATCTTTAACATCTTTTTGTGCTTGTACTTTTCTGTTTTGAGAGAGGGAAAAACTCACCATGTAGCCCAGGATAGCCTCTAACTTGTGAGTGAGCCCTCTACCTCTGACTCTTTAGTACTAGATTTTTCAGATCTGTACTTGCCCATTCTGCCTCGGTCAATTAAATCCTACAGAAGCAGTTTTGAATGCTTTGTTTTGAGTCAAGTGTGCGATGTCCCAGCTTTTGATGGTGGTACCACCATCGCTGTCAGAGCACTAGTCAGCTTTGCATTACTCTTCTTCTTTTCTAGAAACAGGCAAACTGCATTTAAAGACACTTCTTATATGTTATTTTTTAAAATATCTATTCCAGCTCTTGGGAGCTACTGCTATTGAAGACAAGCTACAGGACGGAGTTCCAGAAACCATCTCAAAACTTGCAAAAGCTGACATTAAGATCTGGGTACTTACAGGAGACAAAAAGGGTAATTCACCATTTAGGGTGTGTATGGGCTAGGTTGAAATATTTATAGCTGCTATTCCTTTGCCTAAGATGACCTTCATAAGCTCCCTCCTCTTAAAACCCCTCCTCCTGGTCCAACCCACACAGGCCAGGACTTTGAACTCCCTCAGCAGCAGAGCCTGCTTCTTAGGATGTAAGCCTAGTTTTGTCTAGAAGTGAGCTTCTATCCTCAAAAAGCCATGCCCCTGTCCCTGTTTGTCTCTAGCACTCTGCCATTTGTTGAACACAGACTAAAGCAATACAAAAGGTTGCTACAGCAGCATTGGTTTTCCTGCCTATCTTATGTCTTGGAAAATTATGACAAACATTTTATTTGCTGGGAAATTGTTTGGTGTTTAAACGTAGAGCTGAACTAGTCATCATCGGTATTGATGACTCATCCTCTAAGCCTTCCTCAAGAAATTATTGTCTCTTGCTCCAACACTCTCCCAAAAGAAGCACAGCCCTGGCCTTTGACAAATACCAAATGGATGCTAATGGAAAGAAGTAAAGGGGGCTTTTAGTAGCAATCCTATGTGAGGGTTCATGGAATCAGTCATCCTTGCCCACCCCTTTACCATGTGATTAAGCCACAGGATCTGAGTGTTTAGTATTTTAATGGACATTGATTCATTATGTAACCAACTTCTGGGCTTAATAACACAGTATACTTGATTAATTAAGAGTGTCTCAAACTAGACTTTGACTTCGACTTATTTCATTGCAGAGAAATGTTTTTCTTTTTTATGTGGTTTCTCTACATTGCTACTGAAAAACAGAGTATTTGGTTGAATGTGGTTAGAATCATGAATTGAAAATGTCATCAAGGAATCCCTCAAATACTTAAAATCTGAAACTCTTTGATCCCTGATATGATGTCACCTGACCTCATGATGCATAGGTCATGGTCAAAATACATGTGATTTGTATGAAGTTGTATAAGTGATTTGTATAAAATTGCCCTCAGGCTGTGTGTGTAAGGTTCATCTTGAATACAAGTGACTTCATGTTTACATTCCATCCTCCAGATAACATGTGTACATGCATACTCCAAAGTCCCAAATCTCAAACACTTCTGGTCCTAAGCGTTTCAGATAAGGGATACTCAACATGGTTCAGATAAGTAGAAATAACAGCTGGCTTAATTTTAATTTGTTGTAGAAACTGCGGAAAACATAGGTTTTGCCTGTGAGCTTCTGACAGAAGACACTACTATCTGCTATGGGGAGGACATAAAGTAAGTACCCGCTATGGGAGGATGTAAAGTAAGTGTGCACTATGGGAGGATATAGGTAAGTATTAGGCCTGCAGTGTGAGAGGATATAGTAGCTTGGTTTTGTTGTTTTTGTTGTTTTTTGTTTTTTAACTAAGTCAAGACTAGATGCAGAAAATATGGAGAAATGGGAGCTAGATTATGTAGTTGGGCCTCTTTTTCATGCTCAAATGAAATAGATATTCCCATGTTACATTGACTCAGCTCATTTTGAACAGACTTCAGTCTCAAGGGGATCCAAGAGCTCTAAGGAGCCATTTTTCTTTATCTCTTAGAAAATCTCCTATTTGAATACTGGCAGAAAGTGAGCCAGCCCTGGGAGTACAGGAGTATGCAATGCAGCCATACCCAGCCTTCTGCGTGGGTGCTGGGCATCTAAACTGAGGTCTTCATGCCCATATGGCAGTCACTATTTACTGACCCACCTCCCCAACCCCATTGCCAGCAAATTAATATGAATTATGTTTATGTCCCTTTTCTGGGGACTTCATCTTTTGAAACAGACAAAAGAGAGAAAATAAAAGTTGTCCCACAATGAAAGTGTCAGTGAGTTATGTCACGTAGGTAGGCCATTTATTGGTAGTTTCTAAAGAGAGCGCACCTGATATTTCAAGCCTTACCTTGTGCTGGGACACTCATTAGCCCCTAATCAGTTGCAGGAGACCTATGTGTAATGGAAAGGTACAGTCTCATTACAAGCTACAAGCTTCCTGTGATGGGCTTACTGCTAGCTTAATCGTTCCATTTATTCCTCAAGCTTTTTAATCACAGTCTTGTCTAATGGCACAAAGGCAAATTAAGCTGTTCATACACATCTGCTGTTTGTCCTAATGCAGGATGGGGCTAATGGGCCTTTCTAATGCAGACAGTCAACTTTGTAAGCCATTCCAGTGCGTTAGGCAGTTTGCTAAGTTAGACAGAGTTAGTAGCCATATGCTATAAATCACTTCTGCTTGAATAAAAGCACATAAACCATACCTCTTTGAATTGGCAACTTTTTTTAAAATACCAGTAAGCATGTTTACTTAAGTAGCTTTTAATTGCAAGCAATTTGGTTAAGAACCATATGGTTTTATTTACTTTTTATACACAGGGAGGGGGGACTGAATAATTCTCCAATTGCTCTTTTGAAAGTGTCAGGTTGGGCCTAAGCCAAACTAAACAACAAATTTATCCAGACAATCAAATTTCATCAACAGTCTCTCAGCCAACTTTCCATTTAAGGAGCGATGAGCCATCTTTCTAGATGGTTCTTTGAAGTGATGGTTCCTATCAAATAGTTTGAATAGACAACTCCATGCTCTGCTCCGATCGTTTAATAACCTATACTCACTCATCTTTTGAACTTGAAAGTAAGAATTAAGTTGATGTGAAAGGAAGTTAATAAATACACAATCCTCTGGACAGTGCCTCTAAGTTTTTTGTTTTATTTATTTAAGTATTATTATCATTGTGCATGGACATACCATGGCATATATGTGGAGGTCAGAGGACAACTTTGTGAATCAGTTCTCTCCTTCCACTGTTCCGTGGGTTCTAGAGGAACAACTTCAGGCTTTTACAGCAGACATCTTTGCCCACTGGGCCATCTCACTGGTCCAGAAGCAGTGGTTCTAATTGGGATTGATTTTGCCTTTCGGGTACCACTGGCAGTGTCTGCAAACATCTTTGATGGGTGTAACAGGGGAAGGAGGTCCTATTGGGTTCTAGTGGGCAAAACTAAGAGGATGTTAAACCTTATAGAAAGGATATACTCTATAATAGATGGCCACATATGATGGAGAACTAACTGGCTCAAGACACCAATAGTGCCAAAGTTGAGAAACCCACTTCTGCAAATGAAGAATGATGGTGGTGTATGTTGAACGGGGAAAGCCTCTGACTGTGTGTGGAGACCTGAATTCTTACACTAGATTTCCCTTTGGCTACCACCAAGTAAAACCATGTTGCCTCTTTCTGCTCTCATTTTCTGATTTGTGACATGAGAAGATTGTCCTCTTCCACTCAAAAGCTCCATGACTCACTTCCCCTTCATACAGGAACATTATGATATTTTTTTTTAAAAAAGACTGGAGAGGTGGCTCAGCAGTTAAAAGTCATACTGTTCTTGAAGAGGACCCAAGTTCAGCCCCTAGCACCCATGTCAGGCAGCTCTGGCACCCACACATCTGTGACAGACACACACACACACACACACACACACACATATATACACATACATACATAGCTAAATATAAAAATAAATCTTTAAAAAAAAGCCCTGAGAATTTTGAAAAGTGGATATAATTTGAGTATGTGGAAATAAGCTTTTTTCTGTCATACAATAGAAATTCACATCAAGACTGCCTCCCGTCTCTTGCTTTGGGTTTTTGACAAGTGGAATACCAAGGACGTGGAGCCCCATGGTGGAGGAGCCAACATTTAGACATCTCTTCACAGCGGAGGC